TGAGAGGCTAGCCATTGTTGAGTATGACGAGCGAATGACCATTGTTTAAACACGTATGTGAGGTCCGAGTCGCCGTCTTTTTTGTGAAAATCTACTATAGTGTGCTAGGGGCCAGGTGTGTGTTGCGGGCAGAGAAGGGTCAGCTGGCTTTGTAAAACACTGCGCCCTTACCCTCCCCCTCCGGTCGTCTGGACAAGGTCTTGCCGACAGGTCTGAGGAGGGGGAGGTGTGAAAGCGGCAGATGCAGCGCAAGTCTACTATAATTATGAACTACTTCGCCTACCCACGCCACCGCTGCGGGGATACGCACGAAGATCGAGTTTCCTTCGTATAAACTGGAACCCACGCATCCCAAGAAACTTATGTTTTAAGAAAATGTTCTTTGGGATAAAAGGTAACTTTAATGAGTGAATTTTCGAGTTTGGCGCCCCAACTCGTCTTCGGAATAACAGGAAAAGTGCAGTGAACAACTAAAATTTCAAAACTGCCGAAAAAATCAAGTTATACAGGGTGAGACGTGATTGGTAGGTGTGGTCTCGGTTAGTCTCTGTCATGCGGCCTCTATTTTTTCCATCGTTCTTTGATCCCGTAGTTATCGTGTAGAGGGTTTTCATTCATTGTTCGGGAAACGGTAATTCAGTCCTACGTGTAAGCTGGGCATCCTTGCCCTGGTTAGACGGACCACATGCCAACTGGACTGCAAGCAGTTAGTTATTCACTAAATTATTTACCATAATGATAGTAAAGGTACTGGGTAAAAGCCCAGACACGCGTAGTTTATCGATTTTATGCAGCTGCATCATGCAGCTGCCAGGAGTTCGGCCATTCAGTGAGTCTGCCAACGTTCTCAGTATGCCTCTTGGTGTACAGGCTCAATGCTGAAAGTAATGTGTGGACTTGGAGTATCTCCTTTGGAACAAAGCTTTTTTTGGCGCGAAGCGAAATTCGACGTAAATATTTCAGCTGATCGCATCTTAGACGATCGCATCCCCTCTTCAGTATCAGTATCAGTCAGTATATTTGGAGTAAATGACCGACGCCCTAAAAA